AAGAGCTTGCGCAAATGTAATTCAGAAAGTTAAAGATACAAGAATTAGAAAGCTTCTACAACTGAAGTTGTCCTTCGGATAAGCTGATGCCTATAGTTCTGAAAAACAAGATGTGTCCCTAAATTTCAATATAGTATTTCTACACTACATCAAATTAGTAGTTTCTGAACTACTCATCAGAAGAACAAGACAAGAAACAAGTCTTAAGCTTAAACATAAACAACATATTTTGGAGAAATCAAGTTCTACAGAAACAAGTTAAACAAAGATTAGAAAAGTCCAGATACATCTTCAGTAATGCTCTAATCAAAACTGACACATGATCACAGTTTTCGAGGAAAAAAATGATGGTAATTCTCAGCTATATCTTAGATAGATAAAAATAAGAAATCACGCCTCCTACACAATAATCATTACAAAAGATAGATTTGCATTGAAAAATATATTAAATTGAAAATTACACGTTACAACACATTATGTGCTCATCCGGTACTATTCTCTCAAGGCTATATAAAGCAACTTTGAATACGTGTGAAAATGTGGCTGAACAACACCAAGAATTTCACAAGCACAAAATAGTATCACTTTGAAATAAAAATATTTACACTGAGTTGTTGCTCTATAGTATAATATTTCATTAAGCATATTAAAGTGCTAACAGCTTACTAAGAAAAACATCACAATAACAGAAGAAAGAATGAAGGATCAACAAGCGAAAGAAACATGAGTCGATACTCGTGTCTTGATTGTTAAAGAAAAGAAGCTGAAGATCTCAACAAGATGTCACTCAAAATATAAATCAAAACGTATCTCAAGAGAAACCAGAAAAGAAGAAATAAGCTATTTGTTTAGCTTGATTAACCAAGAAGATGAAGATAAGAAGACTACAAGATGTTTTGCACTTAATCTCCATAACATTCAATCTTGTAGAAACATGTAAAACACAAGAGTTGTTGCTCTGATTGTGTTATCTCTTAGAAACCTTCATGTAAATTATTTTAGACAAGGAGTTATTGCTCAAAAGATTGTCAAAACAATATGTACTCTAAGTATGATAAATATGCTTGATAAGAAGCACACTTGTAAATCTCCAGAAAATGATTCTTTCTAGAATTGGTGTTTCCTCAAGTGACTTTCTAGTATGTATACTTGAGAGGGCTAAGAGGTCTTTCTAGACTCTTAGAGATTGTTTCTAGAATTGATGTTTTTTCAAGTGACTTTCTATTCTGTATACTTGAAAGGGCTAAGAGGTCTTTCTAGACTCTTAGAGGTTGTTGTAATCTTTCAAGATTAGTGGATTAAATCCTTTTCTAAGGCAAAATCACCTGAGGAGGGTGGACAAGATGTTGCCTTAGTTTAGAAGGTGAACTTGTATAAAAATGGATGTGTTCTTTATTGCTATTAACTTCTACTTGCTCAAGGCTTACCCAAACTCTTTAGAAAGGGAACAAGTTTTTATCAATACAATTCAAACCCCCCTTTCTCATGTTTTTCTCCACCTTCAGGAAGACTCTGGTAAAAAACCAAAATGACAAGAAAGTCAAGAGATCGAGAACAAACAATGAACTTGAATTTTTCAATGAGGCTTTCGATAGCTATTATGTTACGTCTGGTATTGCAAGGCACATAACTACTGTATGTATTCCACACAAAAAATGGTTTAGCTAAAATGTTTAATCGAACCATTGTGGAAAGAGTTAGCATGTTGGTTAGGTGTTGGAATGAAAAAGGTATTTTGGGTTGAGGTAGTTTTAACAACATCATATCTGATAAATAAATATCCCTCGACTGCCTTAGGGATGAAGACACCTAAAGAAGTCTGGTCGGGACATCCACCTAATCTCGACATACTTAGAGTATTTGGTTGTGTAGCCTATGATCACGTTATGCAAGACAAGGTCAAACATAGAGCTCTGAGATGTATGATCACGGGGTGCCCCGAAGGAGTCAAATATTATAAGTTGTGGTGGCTTGAGCTAGGTCACATTAGGTGTATGACAAGTCGAGATGTAGTTTTCAATGAAGCTGAAATGGCATTCAAGAAAATTGATGATAATGTTTGAAATGCATAATTTTTTGTCGAAGAGTTGGAACAGGAAGGGATTCATGTTGAGGTGGAGCATAGTGATGCTGAATTGCTAATGAAGATGGGGAATCTGATAATTATTACCTTCTTGCTAGAGACATGTCGAAAAGAGTCATTAAGCCACCTTAGAGAATTGGTTATGCAGATCTCGTAGCCTTTTCCTTAATCTCTACAAGTGAGGTCTTTGATGAAGAACCATGAGACTACAAGGAAGTAGTAAGGAGTCGAAATAAGACTGAATGACTGAAAGCCAGTGATGATGAGATGAAATATATTCATGATAACTACACTTGGGAGCTGATCAAGAAACCTGCAGGTGGCAGATTAGTCAGTTGTAAGTGGATTTTCAAGGTTTAGGAAGGAACAAAGGAGTGATAAAAAGAAGGATTCAGATTTAATAATGTGTTATCACCTGTTGTAAATCATAGATCCATTAGAATGTTCATGGTGGTGAACTTCGACCTAGAGCTTGAATAAATGGATGTGAAGACCACTTTCTTGTATGGTGATCTAGATGAAACAGTCTTAATGAAGCAGCCTGAAGGATATGAAGAAAAGGGCAAGGATGTTTATGTGTGAAAACTAAATAGGTTTTTGTATGGCCTGGGACAACTTCATTGACAATGGAATAAGAGATTCAACAAGGTCATGACACGCATAAGTTTCACTAGGATCCCGTTCGATCATTGTGTTTACTTCAGATTTTGACTTGGAAATTCACTTGTTATTTTGTTGCTTTATGTGGATGATATTCTCATAGCAAGCAACAATGTCGAGGATGTAATGAAGGTGAAGGTTGAACTCAATAAGGAGTTTGACATGAAGGATCTGGGAGCTGCATCCATGATTCTTGTGATTGTCATCCGGAGAGATAGAAAGCAGTTGAGGTCATGCTTATCTCAAGAGACATACCTGGAGAAGATTCTCGACAAATTTGGTATGTCGAATTCAAAGTCTGATGTGACACCGACAAATCCTCAATTCAAGCTGAGTACGACTTAAGGTCCTAGTACTGAAATCGAAAGAACATATATGAATAACATATCATATGCTAACATAGTAGGTTCTTTGATGTATGTCATGATCTGTACGAGGCCTGACATATCATATGCAATGAACCTTGTCAGCATGTATATGGTGAATCTTGGAAAGGCACACTGGCAAGCATGCAATAGTCAATAATGCAGTAGTCGATATACTATGTTTGTTAACATGTCGAATTGTGCATGTTTGTTTAGCCCAATTGTTTAAGTTAACTTGTATCTTAAGTTAACTTAGTAGTCTATAAATAGACTAGTTCTCTCAAGTTGTTGAGAGAGGTTGATTGTTGTTATTCAATTGTAATATATAAATCCTAATAGAGAAAGTGAATAGAAAAATAGTTACAATAAATATTACTATTTTTTTCTTCTTCCCTCTTCTCTTTTTCGTGAAAACCTAATAGAATTTCTTGTATTTGTTCAAAAAACTCAATCATTCTCATAGTTTTAGTTTATTATTGACAATACTCCATTACAACATATGAGATATGGACAAAGTCGTGTCTAATAAGAAAGGCTAATGTTCTATTTATATTCCATTCATATAGTGAGATGGACGAGGAGTTGATTCATGATTGAATATGAGCTAATTAAAGATCAAGAAGACCTTTAGACTATATTTATAAGAAGATCTTACACAAAGGCAGGGCATTACATTGGTGTTCACGTTGAATACTAAATTATTATACTAAATTATTCTTATTAGACACTCTTGTGTATGGAATAATAGGTGACTTATTTATCTATATCAATCCAGAGTCGGAAGAAACAATGAGTCGACATACTCACTGGTTGACATTTAAATTATTTAAAATCAAATCTGTATAATGTGACAAAAATTATAGTTGCATTCTTTTATTTTAAATGAAATTATTGTGATTATATTAATTTCAGATGTTACTTATGCGATGTTTTATATACTTGTGAATGTATAATTTTAAAACAAATTTTATAATAATTTTTAATTTTTATAGTAAAAAATAATAAAAAAATAATTGAAATCTCGTGTACTGAATTACCTCTTTATAATAAAAAATAATGTTTTTTTCCTTATAAATACACCAACTTTCATTTTTAAGTACCTATAAGCAGTTTCTTTAAACATTAGTCCATCTAAACATTAGTCCATCTAGATATATATATTTGGTGTAAAAGAATTTTACACGGTCTAACATAAAATCATCAATCTCATAAATCATTAAAATTATTTTAAATTATTAATATGATGTAATGGAATACACATCATTTATTAAATGACGGTATAAAACTTTTTTACACCATAGATGTATTAACTATTTTTTCTTGTTATTTTAGAAAATTTTATATGGCATGTTTTGCGAATGACATGTCATTGATAAAATCTTAAAAAATTATTTATCTTATTAATTTATAACTTTAATAAGTTAAAAATTAATTGTTAAAGTTAATATTAAATAGTTAAGCTATTAAATTAATGATAATTTAAGATCATTAAATAAGTCAAATAGAACGTGGCACATGATCAAAAACAATTAGCTAGACTTTTCAAAAGTAGTGAATAATTATTTAAAACTTTCTAATGTCTCCTTACCAGACACTTTTTCTAAAGTTTCTATTTCTTGCAATCCAAGAATTATTTTGGATCACGGAAGAATCATGTGCTATACCTCATAGTTTACTACAACTTGAGTTAGTTGACCAATTTGAGGATTCAATAATACATCTCAACTTGCCAATTGGCTAGTATTTTTCAATCAAAATCCAATTCCAGTTCTTCAAAAGACGAATAGTTCACCAAGCAGCCAACTCTAGTTCTATCTGTTAAGCTTCAAGACAACTTCTTCGCATTTCTTTTCTGGTTATCTCACAATATTTTTCTACTAGTTAGTTTTTCAATGGGAAGAAAGTGTATTCCAAAATGCAAAACTGCAAGAATAATGGGTTGGGTACAAATTATTTTAGGGGGTTTGGTAATCTTAGTAAGTATATTGAGCCTAACTAGATTCTACTATGCTGGTTTTTTCTTACACAGTGAAGAAATATGTGAGCATTTGTATGCTATAAAGGATGTAAACGTTGGTTTAGATGCGAAAGCACTATCCGATAGAGTTGAACAAGTATTGGACATGTTGGAAAGTTTGCAGGGAAAGCTTGAGTTAAAAGAAAAAGAAATGGAGAAAAACAAGGGAATTACCTTAGACAAGAAGTTTTTAGGGGATGAAATAGTTAGGCCTCTTCACAGTGCTAATGTTGCTTTAAGACAGATTAGGCTTCCGAAGATGGAAGAAGGAGGGAACTTCACGGTGAAAGAGGATCCTTTGATTAATTATTTTGTGACCGAGGAGATTAGAAAGTACATAACTTCCAAGGAGAATAGAATTGGTAAGATTAATCTATATGGGTCAGACAAGGTTTATAACACAATTGGGCATGCATGTGTTTTGCACAAGAAAGAGCTGGAACAGTACATGGATTATGACATTGGTTCATATTGTGATGATGATTGGAATTTAGCTCAGAAGCTTATGCTTAATGGGTGTGATCCTTTGCCTAGAAGAAGATGTTTGACAAGGGCTTCAAAAGTTTACCATAAACCATATCCTATCAACGAGTCGCTATGGAGAATACCAGATGAGAGAAATGTGATGTGGGGGAATTACCGATGTAGAAATTTCGAGTGCTTATCAAGCAAGAATCCCAAGAGGGGTTATTCGAAATGTACAGGATGTTTTGAAATGGAAAAAGAGAAGGTGAAATGGGTTTCGAATACCTCGCTTTCTGCGGACTTTTTAATCAGTGATGTTTTGTCAATCAAACCGGGAGAAATAAGGATTGGACTAGACTATGGAATTGGGACAGGTACATTTGCGGCGAGAATGAGGGAAATGAATGTAACAATTGTGTCAACTGCTTTGAACCTTGGTGCTCCTTTCAATGAGATGATAGCTCTAAGGGGTTTGGTTCCTTTATATGTCACATTAAATCAAAGGCTTCCATTATTTGATAACATTATGGATTTGATTCATACAACTGGCTTTATGGATGGTTGGATTGATTTCCTATTATTGGATTTCATATTGTATGATTGGGATAGAATTTTAAGACCAGGAGGTTTACTATGGATTGACAGGTTCTTCTGTAAGAAAAAGGATTTGGATGATTATATGTACATGTTTCTTCAACTAAGGTACAGGAAACACAAGTGGGTTATTTCTCCAAAGTCAAAAGATGAAGTATATCTCTCTGCATTGCTCCAAAAACCTCCCAGAGCCATATAAACATAATCATTTTCCCGGTTCTCTTTCTCCTTTTCTTAATGTTGCCATAAGCATAGACTGAAGACAAATTTGCTAAGATATTTACGTCGGTTCCTAAATCCAATATGGATTTAATCTATCAGAATCTAAGTATGCCTTTTATGTCTGTAAGTTTCTTTAAACATTCAGCAGTTTAGTTTCCAGTTAAAACCTTGATCTTATCACACTTTACATTCTAGCAATTTACATTTGGTATTTTTAAGTTTCAAGCGTTTACTTTTCAAATCTTTTGATTTCCAATAAGTTTAACATTTTGTTGCACCTTTTTACATTTCAAGTCAATTTACTTTCAGCTGTCTTTTCTTTGTTGTTTACTTTTGACACAACCTTAAAATTTAAACATTTTGGATGAAGATGCAGGTCTCTTGTTTAGATTCGGTGAGGGAGTGAAAATAGCATCTTAATATAAATCAAGTTTAGTGATTTGAATGACTCACACTTATGAAAGAGATTGTTGGCTGACAAATCTGCCGCTCTCTTAACTCCCCAACCGCAACTTTAATTTCTATTTCAAAACTCACGCCTCATTCACACTATTTTTCAAGTATAAATTTTATAAAATGTCACATACATACGAAAGGTCACCCAAGTTATCAATTAACTTGTTTGAGATATATTGAGGAGTATGGGAAGCGTCAGAAGTGTCAACGAACTAAATATTCAGGATCCAAGAAAAGTTGGCATCACATATCCACTAAAAACCTTAAGGCAGTGTGGGTATGGATCCTTTCTCTTATATACTCAACATTTCCTCTATTTCTAGTCAATGTGAAACTTAATCATTCACACTCGAATCTCTATAATATCTCCCACAAGTGTGAATCACCCACATCAGTAGACTTGATCAATACTATGATCCCACTTCCGCTTCCTTATTGATGCTAACCATGATTTTATATCACTTGTTGGGGAGTCTTGGGAGCATCGAAAGTGTCAATTGGCTAAATGTTTAAGATCAAAGAGACTTTGACACCACATATTCACTCAAAACCTTAAGACAATGAGGATATGGGTCTTTTGTCTTATATATCCAACGTTTCCTATGTTTCTAGTTGATATAAGATTTAACTACTTACACTTGAATCCCAACAAGATCTTATGATTGCCCTGAATAAACATTCAATTGTAATCTTATTTAGCATACTTCATAGTTAACTAAAAATTATTGTAAATTGAGGCAATTTCAAATGGGTTATTTTCCTTTTGAAATTAACCATTTATGGGTTTGTCATTCAAAAATCAACAATCTCAAATTTTGGAGTATCATACTTCTTCTGTAAATGAAATAATACAAGTGTGAGTTGGAAGTATCACTGCTTGAAAAAATAGAGGTTGAACACTTTATAAATGAAATAATCCATATGTCCAATATCTTAAGGTTTTTGGTGAATATTTGGTGTCTCTCTCGCTTGTTTGGATGACTTTTGACCAAACATGGATGCTCTCCTTAGTGGTATCGGAGTCGATAGTTAGAGTGAGAGACCGACTCCTCGTGACATGGAGGTGGTAAGGAGGCTTGTTTTGTTGAAGTGTCTGTGACGTGGTAAGAATGTCAACGAAAGTACAAGTGTATGTTGATGAAAAAACTTCCACTTAAGGGGGAGCAAAGTGGTTAAACTCACAACTGAGAGAAAGATTGTTGAGATACATAAATGTGAGTTGAAAGTCTCACATTTCTTAGTAAAATGGTGGTTGGATACTTTATAAATGAGATGACTCGTATACTTAATGTCTTAATATTTTAGGTGAATATGTAGAGTCTCTCTCTCTCTTTTTTTGGTGAGTCTTTGACCCAATGTGAATACTTCCCCTCATGATGGCCTATCAATAACGACTTATAAGAAAAAAAATTAATATTACACATTTTTATTAATAAAATTTAAACTTTCGTGATTTTAAATATATTTTATGAGAAGATGTAAAAACAAATTTAATAATGAGAGAGAATGCAAATGAAACGCAATTTGCATTTAATTTTACATGAAAAAGATGTTTTTTTAGAATAAAATATCTACCATATAATAACCTTATATCCTCTGGAAAACTCTCATTTGCCCCTTCTCCATTCTTCTCCACCTCACCAAAATAAGGGCAATTTGTGTCTAAAAAATATTTTTTCTAACTATTGATGTCATATGGTTCTATTTAAATTACATAGTTGTTGTTTTTTTGCCTTTGATCATTAGATTTGAATGGTTTGATGATGTCATTTGGTCCATGAAGCTACCGGCAGAAAACACAGAGCCGCCACCGAACTTTATTTATCCAGGAGGAAGGGGAAATATCGATAAAACTACAAGGGAAGGTATTAGCACCCCTCACATCTGTTGTACTCAACGGGATCCATTTTGTTTGTTTGTCTTTAAGGGTGTATTTATCTACAACTATGCTTGCTTAAGGGGAAAGGAATGATTTTTTATTATTGTGTTCGTGAGGGTTTCGCGACCCTTTGCCTACGTATCTAGTGAAGGAATCAGAACACCGTAGTTCCTCTAGAAAATGGTTGATTTGTTTGTGTTTTTTAGTGGGGCGACGTTAATGCATGCATTCTAGCAATAGGCACGACCGGTATCGCGGTAGAACGGAGATAACATGTCCTTTAGGGAAGATTTTGATTTGTTGAGTGTTTTTGTAAGTTTTAAAATAAATTCAAGTAACGATTAAAGTGTTTTGGATTTTTGATTTGTGAAAGATGAGTTTTAATTACTGTTGCACCCCAAAATTTGCCCTCCCATATTCTCCAAGAAATTGCCAAGTCAAGTCACAAAATTCCCCAAGGGTTATGCAGTTCAACTGTCTCCTATACAGTCAAAACTAGGGTTTGTGTTCTGATCAAAGAAATGAAGTTTTCAAAGGCCCAATCAAGTCTCATGTGCTTACAAAGATGGTCAAGCATCCTCATATCAAGTTTTCAAGGCATCCAGCTCAAAATTGCACAGTCAAAACCCTAAATTGCACTACAGTCAATTGTAGGGGCAAAATGGTCATTTGACAGTCAAAAGTTCAAATTTTTGGTCAACATATCATTTTGAAGCCACAAACATCATTTGATCAATGCTTGATCATGATTCTCAAAATTTGGCTCAGAAAATCATCAAGATGCAAAAGTTACTATATTTGGACAGCTGAAAAAGTCAACTGAAATTGACCAGGGCATAACTTTCACATGGATTATCAGAAAAATTCCATCCAAAGCTCATTTTGAAGAGAAAGACATTTCCTACAACTCATCTTCATACTTCAAGTCCAAGAAATGCTCTCACAAAAAGTTATCAATTTCAATATTATAGGTCATTTTCAAAAGTCAACAAAAAGGGACTTTAAGTCAAAGGCCATAACTTGAGATTGGTAAATCAAAATGACATGGGACCAAAGGCATTGGTTAGAGGACTCAAAGACCTTTCCAAAATGTCCAAGAACATGAGAAAAGCTTAAAAATTGAGCAAGTTATGCCTTGTGGAAGTTGGGAAATTTTTGGATATTTTGAAAAGTCAACATTACTTCAAATGACCTAAAATGGCTAATGGGCCCATTTTTCTTCCATGATTCATCATTCCAAGCATGTGCACGACCACTTGGCCCAAAGGGAAGTATTTTCTCATTTTTTATTTATTTATTTGAATTTCTATTAATATTAATTCATTTAAATCATTTTAATATATGGAAAATATTTAATTCACCCTAACCAATCTTTTTGTACACATTCTAGACTCAATATTTCGTGCATATGCCAATTAGGAAAGATTTGGTTTGAATTGATCATAATTTGCACAAAAACCATGTGAAAAAGATATGTAAAGATCTTAAGAAAATCAAATATGCAAAACAATGAATGCCTTGGATTTGTGCTAGTTTTGTTGACCTAATAGCTCCCATACAAATACTTGAATCAAAACCTAATCATAGGACACTCTAAGCTGCGCTCAAAGACCATTAAGAAACTTGAAATTTTCTCCATAAAAAGCAAAACTGAAATCATTGATAGAGGTTGATTCAAGGCACGAAATTCATCCCAAAAGCTTCCTTGTGATCTCCTGAATACATTCCAATCCCAAACATCCATCAACACGCCAAGAACTGGTAGATTGAACTCAAACTGCATCAAGAAAATTCCATTATCTTGTATCATGATTCAAGCATTTTTACAGCATTTTTTTTATTGATTCTTATTCCTCATGAGATTCTAAAGCTAACCACCATGTTTAATTGCATTATTACCATGTATATCAAATTTCACCATGCGTGGCTTTTAGGGTTTTCAACATTTTGAATTGGGGCTTTTGAAACGGAGTAAAATCAGGACTCAAGACCATGACCATTGCACTCAACGCATCTGGACGAAGAGATTGACATACTCGCGCCCAATTTATGGGCACCATAGCGCTAGTCGCTATTTTCTTGAAGCTGGCCTAACAAAACGCTAAAAAACCGTGGCCTATGTGTTTATTGTTTCAGGAACAGGGAGGACGATGATATCGTGGCAAACAGCGATTGGAGCATTCAAATTTCGCGCGTTCCAATCCATTAAACGCGTTGCTTTCTTTATATTATTTAGTTGTTATTTATATAATAAACGCGCAGTAATGGCTTAGTGGCACAGGTGTTGCCTTGCAATGTCCAAGACCTGGGTTCGAGTCCCAGGTCTGTATAATATTTCATGTTATTTTTCAATTCAAGTTCCTATGCAGGCATGACTTTGGGGATCACCATACACTCACCATATCAAGCCAGCCACGTGCTTAGTGGAATCAGATCAAAGGCCAAGAATCAAAGAGCACGCTACACTTCAGTCAACGCACCACATGCTTGCACGAAAGTCAATCAGGCCTTGCAAGATTGGGCCAGCATTTTTGAATCAACACCTCACAATTGGGGACTACCCCCCTCCCCTGGTTTGCCTTCTCCATATTTTTTCTTATTTTATTTTTAATTGCTATTATATTCTTCTTTATTTGTTTTAA